CCCCCCCCCCCCCCCCCCCCGTGTATGCATACATTCATGCATACAGACTTTTTTTTTTTTTTTCTGTTAGTGTGGATAACTTCAGTTAACTTGTTTTGATTCTTGTTGGCTGATTCCAAGCTCATAAGCACTGGAATAGGCCCAGCATTAGCAATGCTGCACACATTTTCCAGACTGATTGTAGAGCATAAGTCTCCTCCAAGGCTGCATATCCCAGTTATCTTGTTGTAATTTATAATTCTCCAAGTTAAAGTGCCATCCCTGTGTTTCTTTCTTTTCATCCTGTTTAATTGCTTGATTTCCCCCTTTCTTATTTGTTCCATACAGTGGGAGGAAGTCAGTGGCTACGATGAGAACCTCAACACAATCCGTACTTATCAAGTTTGCAACGTCTTTGAACCCAACCAGAACAACTGGTTGCTTACCACCTTCATAAATCGACAAGGCGCACACCGTATTTATACAGAAATGCGCTTCACTGTACGGGACTGTAGCAGCCTTCCCAATGTTCCTGGTTCCTGTAAGGAAACTTTCAACCTATATTACTATGAAACAGACTCTGTTATTGCCACCAAGAAGTCAGCTTTCTGGACAGAAGCCCCCTACCTCAAGGTGGACACTATTGCTGCAGATGAGAGCTTCTCTCAGGTGGACTTTGGTGGCAGGTTAATGAAGGTGAACACAGAGGTGAGGAGCTTTGGGCCCCTCAATCGGAATGGCTTTTACCTTGCCTTTCAGGATTATGGGGCATGCATGTCGTTGCTGTCTGTAAGGGTCTTCTTTAAGAAATGCCCAAGTGTGGTGCAAAATTTTGCCATCTTCCCAGAGACTATGACAGGAGCAGAAAGCACCTCCTTAGTGATTGCACGAGGTACATGCATTCCTAATGCCGAGGAGGTGGATGTGCCTATTAAATTGTACTGCAATGGTGATGGGGAATGGATGGTTCCCATTGGCCGCTGTACTTGCAAGGCTGGATATGAGCCTGAGAACAATGTGGCCTGTAAAGGTAAGATGATGATTTGCTGTTGTCTGATGGCCATTGCCTTGTCAACTAAAGAACTGATCAGAAATCCTTGAAATTAAATAATGACCGAGAAACTTTTAAAGGGCTCACCCATGGTAGAATAATATTAGCAACATGTTGTTAAGGCCAACATCATTGTGAATATCTAAGCAATTGCAAATTGGCATACCTTTCTTCATTTCTGATAACTGTAGGTCTGAAATGAGTCCTCTCAATACCTGCTTTTCTTACAATAAGGATTGCTAAGGTAGACTTTATCTGCCCCAAGCTAAAGAAGGCAGAAGTGACATAATACTAGGGCACAATAGATATATATTGATCAGTGGCAGTCACTTCCTTGAAGTCATTTTTTATTTTTTTAAAAAAATAGCCCTTTGTCCTTGTAGATAACTATAGTATAAAAATACAGTTTAAAAGTTATAGAACAAAATCCAATGGAAAAGAGAAAATAGATTGGAACTGGGAAAAAAACATATAAAATTAAAGTGCCTAGGGAAACACAATTGTTATGAGCTGTTGCCACAACAACAGCAATGTTAGCGTTAGTCATACTTTCTTAGGAAGGTGATCCACAATCTGAGTGCCAGAATGGAGAAAGCTCTCCCATTCCCTTTCTCTCCTTTGTTGATGAACTTCAGTCAGGCTGATATAGGTACAAGCACTTCTGCATATATTTTGCTTCCTTTCTTCCTCCTCCAGGTGCTGAAGATGATACTTGTGCATTGTTCAGAACAGAACCACCTAGTCATATCTTACACCAATCCTGAAGTTTGTGTTGTGATTATCTATCACAGCTTTCCCCTTCCTACCCCCAATGTTCCAGTCTGAGATTAATAGGACAATGATTCCCACCATCCATAGTCATGCTACCTTGGACTGATAAGAACTACAGTGCAATGCATTAAATGGGGGAAGACTGATTTAGATGAAACAAACAACTTCTGTGTTGTTGGATGAATTAAAATGTAGCCGGGAATCTTTAGTACTCTAGATCTGTTGCCTCATTTGCCAGCTAACAATTTTCCATATAAGTCTAATGATGCTACACCCTTTTAAAAAACATCTGGTCAGTAAATGCTTTCATGGGGGACCAGCTTTCTGATCACCAATATTTAAGAAAGGCAAATAGTGGCATGTATAAATATGTGACAAATATCTGACATTTTTGTGATATGTGAAGAGAGTTGTGTCAGGAAATAACCTGGCGTGCTGGCCATTCTGTAAATAGCTATTTTCCTTTCTTACTCAGTAAAGAGAGAAAAAGATCTTTTCTTTTCTCTAAATCTGGAGCCCAGCCGCTAGTTTGGCTATGAACCCCTCATTATAGAAAAGATGTATTTTAATGAAACTTAAATTAATGAGGCTGTCTTACTGTTTTAATTGAGCTGGGTTTTGCCCCTTTGTGTGAAGGAGCCAGATAATTCATTTCTCTAAGCCAAAGAATTATCAGAGATGGGAACCATAGAAAGATAGACTGTAATGGAAATCCATGCCCTTTTCTGTTTCTCCATTGGTGGGTTGGTAATGAAGGTGTGGACATGATTAAGCAGAGACTGCACTTTGTGGGTGGAGTATGGGGATCAGCATGATTCAGTCAGTCTTCTGTAGGTGTAAAACCACATACTGGGAATTGTTCATTGTGAAAGGAGAACTGTGCTGTATGTCATAATGTCATATCTATAAATGGATGAGCAGTCAGTCACTGGCTAGGTGCCTAACCCAATCTAGTCTGAATACTCATTTTTCATAATATATGTAGTATTTGTATGTGAAAAGCTGAGAGAAAGGCCTGCAAATGTTTACTAAATACTTCCAGTTGCAAAAGATGTATATTATATGCAACACACTGTGTAAAAAGTTACTTGACCTTATATTCTTATTCACACTTTAAAATTATCTCCCAAATAACATCCTGCCAACAAAATCTAATAATAGAAAATATATTACTTGGCTTCTAAAGAATGCTTAGCTGCTTGTGTGTTTTATTTTTCAGATGAAAACAGTATCTAAGGAAAATAATACAAATGTGTAATGCTTTGGACTTGATTCCAAAAAAGTAGTTCAGACTGTGTGGGATATGAATGTAGCGTCTGTCTGCAACTCTTTAAAACAGCCACACCATTTCCTAGGATCACATGGCAGCTACAGAGGCAGCTATGCAATCTTGGGGGAAGATGTGGGTGCTTTAAAGAGTTGCAGACAGGTGTTACAGTTTCTCTTCTGTGCACTCCAGAAAAACCTTTGCAAATTATTTCCAAAGCTCTGCATAAACTGGTTTTCAACTTACACATCATCCTTCTCCAGCCTTGAGATGGGTTAAGATACGTTCCCTTAAACTGGATTTGCAATGCTAGCTGAAAATGCCAAAGATTTATTCCAACATATCTGGAAGGCATATCAATCTGCAGTTGATCTACGACTGAACAGAAAATGAAGGCTATTCATACTGCAGAAGCTCTAACTGTTTATTGGATTTAATCAGACGAGTGATGTGGTCTCCTGCAAGTTACTGTGCATTGAAATAAAAACAGTAAAATAACAGGTGATGGTTCTTCATATATCACTGGAAAAGTATCACAGCTATAAAAAGGCATTAAAATGTAATTGATGGCCATTATCATGCCCACCATCTAGTGGCTTCATGAGCAGGTGCTGAAATAAATTGAAACCAAATTACAACATAGAAAGATTAAATATGAATAATGTGAGAAGGAAAGATGATAGAAGAGAAAATGGAATAGAAGGATTTTATGCCTCTCCAAGAAGTTTCCGCAGCGACAGGCAGTGCTACCCACCAGTTGTGGTTATGCACAACTTCCATAACCCTTTGTGATTAACCATGCTGATTCAATTGATGAGAATTAAAGTTCCCATCAGTGTTTTTGTTGTTTCTGTTTGTTTTGTTTTAAAAAATATGGACTTCAGTGAGTTTTTGTAGATCCAAAATGGAGCACTCAGGGTCAGTTAAAGCCTATTTCACTAGAAAGTCTTAAATGACAGCTGTTTTTATTTTGATACTAGAATTACCTAGGTAGAAACATAAACATTGTTTCTTGAAAAAGATTACACTATTTTCCAGGGGATAATCTTGCAGTCTAAAGTCTGTGCTAGTCATATATATGCCGACTATGTAACATAGCTTATATCTCATCACTGTAATTAAACTATGGAAGTTGTTTTGCATAATAAAACAGAGACATTCAGACTCTCTACATAAGGTTTGGTATATCTGGAATAGATTTTGAAATATCTTTAAGGATTAGTGTTAAACAAATGTTTATTTGAAAGGGACCACCAAGATCTGCTCATATATTGCATAAAAAGGGAAGTCTTCCCATATCAGTACATGCCCTGCTGAAGGCTACAATAATTCCCCCATATTGTATGTGTTCTGGAATGTAAACTTTCAACTTTTGCAAAAACTACAAAAAAGTTAATTATGAGGTATTCTTCAGTTCCCCATGGAAGGATTCTGTACTGCTTTCTCATTTTTAACCTAACTTTTCTATATGTTTGTGCTCATAACATGATAAAATGCTTAGCTAATTCTGGTAGATATTCCAGCTTTTCATATGCAGAGGTACAAAAAAAGAATGTAGCTGTGTGGGACCATAATTTATTTAAGATTTCTAGATACGTTTCCAGAGGAAAAGCTAACAGGTGATGAAGATCACATAAGTTGGCCTTTCTCAACCCATGTTGCATGATTGCTCCCATAATCTCCTAATAAGCACAGCCAGTTGGTTCACTGGAAAAGGATTGTGGGAATTGAAATCCAAAAACAACTGAACACATCAGGTTGGAAGTCAACTTTTCAACTGCTAATGATGAGAGAATTGGGAATGGTATCTGTTTTATTGTGTGAACGAAAGGGATCTGGTATTCTGAAGGTAGAGTGGAACCCATTTCCCTATAATGGATGATGATCAGCATTCTGGCAGGACCAGAAAGGGAAACTGATAGACAAAGCACTGCTGATGTAACTCATCATGTCAGTATGTGTTTTATTAACATGATGCTCCATTGATGATGTATTTTCTTTGACCATTCTTTTCATTTCCCATTGCATTAAATGTTTCAGATAGCAGAACTAATGTCTGATATTGTGAGTTAACTTACAGTTGGTTCATATCTCTTTGGAATAGGACCTAACACCTATAGAATAGAACTTCACCTTTGCTTGTGAAGACTTTGTATATCTCTTCCTGTAGCCCAAGTGTGAATACTTAATTCTTCTGTCAATTTATTTTATTCTTGCTCTTCTTTGACTGCCATTATATTCCCATTCCTTGTTTTCTCACAGCTTGCAAATGTGTAATTGTAAAATGCTCACAATGCCCCAGAATAAAATAGATTAGTGAGGCAAGAAATAGCATTGGAGCTAAGCAGAGAAAACACTGGGACTTGGGTGATCAGAGGAATAGTCATGGGATGGGTGAGAGCTTTGTTATTTGATTGTTTTACTTTGTTCAGTTTTTAAATAAGAAATTTGCCATAAGTCACACACTAGGCTTACACATGTTTTTTTGTTTTCCAGTAGGTCACTCATCTTTAACAGGCATGTGCTAGGCAGGTCCAAGTCGGTCTTCTATCAGAGATGGCATTTGGTGAAGTAGCAAGTGGAGTGATTTTAAGTAACATCTACTGAATTTGGCCACCTGTATATAGGTGAGATTTTAGTTTTAGATGAAACCACATATTTCTTCATGAGTGGAGTAGGGAGGAAAGCAAGATGAAAGCTTGTCAGCCCTTTGAGTAAGCCAGCTCAAGAAATAGCCATGGCAGGGATTCTTGGAATGTTCATTATTGTAGTAAGGCAGAATAAAAGAATCTTGAAAGCTTGTCCAAAACCTCCCTGGTCCTTTTTAAGGACTATAAAGTCAAGGCAGGGCTGTTCTGAGTCTCCTTCTTACAATTCTGTTTTCCCAGGTCTGACTAACCATTTCCTCTCTCTCTCTTTCTTCTTATTACCAGACCTAAAT